ATCTGGGAATATTTACAGATTGAGTTTAAAATTTTTAACTTTGATTACTAGTATTTTGGTTGAATGGTGTGTAATTGGCTATCATATTCCTGCCCTCTTTATTCTGATTATTCTCGACTTATATACTTTGGACTGTGTTGCTGTGCAATGTTGGATTTTTTGTGTAATGGCGTTCTGCTTATCAATCTCTTTTTATAATCATCAATTTAGAAAATTCTCAAGGTAGTTGTGATGCATGATCTGGTGAATGACTGGGGTCGATTTGTGTCTGGCAATTCAGAAGATTGAATCTAAATCATTTCCTGCTGCTTATTGGACTGTGAATTTAGAAGCTATTGACAGAAACTAGCAATTGCCCACCTTACTCACTTTAGGCAACACTTTTCAAGATTATAAATTTCAAGATGAAATTGGAAGAACATAAATTGCGAGTGCTGTTATAGCCATTCTTCAGTGGCTTGGAGGAGTTGCCTGAATCTATTGGCTTGCTAAGGCATCTTCGTTAAAGTATCTGGAACAAAAATTAAAAGATTCTGATATCAGCTATCCATATTTAAAATACTTCAGTAGGGACAGATGCCCTGATTGTAATCTAGGCCCGCCTATGGCTATATGCCAGAATCTGTTGTTTTAGTGACATAGAAGGAACAAATGAAATGTTAAAATAGCAAAACTAATGATATCAGTGTTATGGCCATTCAAGGTCTGATATATTTGAAAGACTAGAGGCCTCTACCTAAATAAGAATTTCTGATATCATCAGGTATATTATCTTGCTTTCGTGTAAGCCTTTAATTCTAGAATTTATCATTTCATTCTTAACCGTTTAGATTGGAAAGTAGGTAGCTTTTTTTGCTATCTTATATTTTTCAATCCCTTAATTAATTTTTGCAAGTTTGATTTTCTTTTATTTAACTTGTTATTTGTCTTGATTTCTAGTTTTCTATGGTATTTTTAGTGTGGACCTATGTGTGAAATTCTTTAACTAAAGTTTGTTGTAAGCTCAAAATGTTTGAGATCTGATAGTAAACCGACTTGTTTGTTGCTTGAAGGAGTTATGCATTAATGATATAAAGCTACTTTTGATATTAATTTTAAATAGCTTTCTATGGTTCTCATTGATGAGATATCTTTGGCATTATATATTTTTTGTGTTCATCATACATGGTTTATGGCTGATCAAAACAAAATTCCGACAATTCTGCTATTGACTCTGTGGAACATACATAAATATTGGTTGACAGCCTTGAACAAGCCTTTAAAGAGGATTGAGAAAGATGAATCATAACCCACAATCAAGTGAAGGCAGGCATGATGACGATGCTGCACTATCAGAATTTCTAGCTTCTTTAATGGATTACACTCCTACAGTAAGTTTCTTTCACTATCAATGACCTGAGAAAACTTCCTTAGCTTGCTTTATATTCATTAGAACATCTAAAGCCCATCGCTAACTCCTTTCTCTTTTATTTTTATATCTCTGATAGATACCAGATGAATTGGTGGAGCATTACTTAGCTAAGAGTGGCTTTCAATGTCCTGATGTTCGATTGTAGGTACTTCTTTTCTTTTTTTTTGGGGAAGTCAATCATCTTGTTCACTCCATTTAGATATTGTTTATTTGAGCATTCTTTTGTCACAAAGAGAGTGCTCTGCCATCTGTTTCTGGGATGTGAACTGATTTGGCTCGCTGAAATGTGTGCATCTAAGTTCAAATATAGTGTAATTTTGGATCAATGACCCGTTGCTAATCTTATTAGTCGTATCTCTTTCCTTCGTACTTTTAATTCTAATAGGACGTTTTTACTTTTATTTCCAGAATAATGTAGACTGTAGATTGAAGAAAGGAAATATATATATATATTAAAGTATCAGAAAGTTGAGTTACATTCAAAATCAACATAATTTTTATAGAAAATTTATTAATGGTAAAAGAAAGTAATGCATCAAATACTCCAAAATCGAACATTTACTGGCTATTGAAGTTGCACAGTCTAGTTGGATGGGTGAGGGGGCTCATAATTACTTTTATTTAGAGTGAAAATTGTTGAATGATATGTTACTCATTTGGATCTTTGGGCCCCATCATTTCTTGTGCATATGTTGTCTGGTCTAGTTGACTTTTTTTTTCTTTTTCTGGCAGAACTAGACTTGTAGCTGTTGCTACCCAGAAGTTTGTAGCTGAAGTTGCCAATGACGCCCTACAGTATGCTTATTGAGCCATTTCTTTCTCTTTTATGCTTTTAATTTCTGTTATGGCCACAAGTTTTGTGCATAATAGAATCAGTTTATTTCTTAGTTTACAAGCTCGATTTTTGGTTTTTTGAGATTTAATCATTATGAGATCTAGTCATGCTATAGGTAGTCTTTTTGGTTGCTATGCTATGAGTAATTTAATCGCCGAACTTTTTGTGTTGGGTTGATGACGTCAACATATTTGAATTTCTACTGCCTGCTCTTGTAGGCACTGCAAAGCAAGGCAGGCAACAATTCCAAAGGACAAAAAGGATAAGCAACAGAAGGTCCTCAACTGATGCTTGCAGTATTTTTTGTCTTTGCTATTCTTATTTCTTATTATATGTATGTCAGTGTCTTGTAAATCTTGTTTGCACAGGATAAGCGCCTAACATTGACAATGGAGGACCTATCAAAGGCCCTGCGTGAGGTAAGAACTAATCTCTACATGTAAAATGGGGAACTTAGTTTTGACTTTTCTCATTCTGACTTGTACCAACTACTACTTCAGTAATACCCAAACTTTTTGCAATAAAAAAAAAATTCAAGCTTGTCTTGTTTAATCAAATGAAATTATAATGAACTGAACCAAACTTGAGTTTTTGGCCGGTTGAATGCCTGCATCAACTTGGAATTTTGTCAGCTTCTTGAGCTAGACTTTTTTGTTCGTTGGGTGTCATTTTGTGATCAACTGCACACATTCACGATTATTCTCATCCATTCCTCAACATCTCTTGTGAACAGTATGGAGTAAATGTAAGGCACCAAGAATATTTTGCTGATAGCCCTTCAGCTGGAATGGATCCTGCTACACGAGATGAATGAGCCATTAATTGTCTGTAACAAATCTTCAAGGCTTCTTGCTTGCTCATAGTTTAGTAAATACTGACATTTGGTAAGGTGGATTTGAGTCTAAAGTCGATGAATTTAGTGGAATAGTTTCAATTTCTGAATGCTTGATTTATGAACAAAAGATATTACTACTTTCGATCCTTAAAATAAAAACTGATTGATTAATTTAAGTAGAATAAAAAAATTAGTTAAATTAGTTGATTGAAGTAAGTAAGTGTTATTTTTCTAAAATATCATTATTAATTATATGTATAAGGTAGAACTATCATTTGATAAAACCTTAACATGTGTAACTGCTACCAAAACCATCTTGAATAATATATCAATCAATCTAAATAGTTTAAATATGATATATGTCACAAATAACAGATTTTTTAACTAAAAATTAATTTTAAATACTAAGGGCAACAAATAGGCAAATTTAAACCAATTAAAAAAAATCAAACACGAATAATACCAAACAATATTGTGCCGATGGATGCATGGGTTCCTGTCGAGGTTGATCAGCAGATAAAAGCATGCGTTGAAGAGTGAGCAAAAGTGTACAATTATCGTCAAACTCATCGTGGTTGTGATCACTTTTTTTGCCCTCGTGGTAGCACTTAATTCACAGATCGTAAGATGTATTATTAGTATTATTATTATTATTGGGGCTCAAACGACACTGCCTGCAAATGAAGAACGAAGTAGGGATGAAATCTTTGCAGGCAGCACAAAAAGGCCTGCCGCTTTTACTGATGTAGTTCAGAATTAAGAACTCCTCAAACTGCAGTAAGCCATCGCCGTTTCGATCGAGGAGGCTGAAGAAACTGTTAATGTGTTGGTTGGAATGTTCCCTCAACTCATGAATGCTGATTTTGCCATCTCCATCTTTGTCCATTGACTGGAACTCTCCAGCTCTGTCTTATCTTCATCAGAGAAGTTTGCATGCTCAGCTTTTGTAACCCTCCTTATGTCCTCCATCGATCCTGATCCCCCCTCGTTATTAATTATTCTTTTTTTTTTTTTTGGCCAAACCCTCGTTATTAATTATTCATGTTTGCAGATTAGTAATTTCTTTTATAGCGTTACTCATCATTAATCGACTTGCCCACATGTTTCGGTGGCCGACCAAGAAATTTCCTTTTCCCACTGCTTGATGCCTGTGTTCATAGTAATCATTTTTTTTGGGGTAGAACTTGTTCATGTTAATAAATAGGTAGTTGTTTAATTTGAGAAGATTAAGAAAATAAGTTAAGTTAGTTATTTGTAATAAATAGGTATTGTCTTTCTTAAAATATCCTTGCTAATTAAGTGTGTTGGCTAAAATTAGAATGACTGCTTTAAAAAAAATGTATAAATATTAGAAATAAAATAGATTGGAATCTTATATTTAGGATCAAAATAAAAGTCAAACAAGGTCTTATATTAAGGACTAGCGGTAATATTATCTTATAATAATAATATTATTTTTTCGGTCCTTAATATAAGGCCACATTGTTGAATTGATTTTAGTTTTAAATATAAGATTTATTTTTCATATTTATCAATTTTTCTTAAATTATCTCTTTAGATACTCATTCAATCATAATATATTTTTATAATTAACTAACTTATTTAACTTCTTTAATCTAATGACATTAGTTAAATAGGTCTTATATTAAGGATCAAAAGAGTATTATATTTATATTTTTATATATTATATATATTGTTATTTACTTATTTACTATTTTTTTATAAATTCTAAAATAAAATTTAGGATGTTATAAAAGCCTAGAAGTGATATAGAATTGAGGGGCACTCGGTTTTCACCAAAGACTCTGCGAGTTTTTTCCATAATGAAATCCCCACCTGATTGTGTAAAAGTAAATAAGCATTGGATTCCATTGCGGAGGTCATCACAGAAAGAGGTTCACATGTGTTGCTCCTGTGCACCATAATTGACTCGTTTCTCGGCTTGCGTTTACCTGACTGCAAAGGATTAAAGTAGAAAACCACGAAGCAGTACTCTCCTTAATTAACGGCTTTTAAATTTGGTCCGTGGCTCGTACATGTGTGTCCCGTATACCTGTGTGTGTGTGTGTGGGGAGTTGTAGGGCCACGGTGCTGAAATGTGAAGAGATAGAAAAGGGAGGTGGCGATAACTGCGCATCAAAACTCCACAGAGGAAGAAAAGGGAAGGATGAGGAGTTGGTCCGCGTCAATGGACAGGAATAGAGATGGCCAGGTGAGTCCCCAGGATTTATATATGTAAACCAAGTCGTCATCATTAACCTTGGTAATTAGATTGTTCTTTGGATGCTTATTCTTTTCAGAGAAGGCGTTCTAATGCTACTGCTGGTTTGGATGGTTATTCTTTTCCACCGCAGCATTCTGATGCTGATGCTGATGCTGCTGCTGCTTCATCCCCTGACAGAGGCAGACAGTCTTTTCAGGGACTGGGAGTGAGGGAAATGCCTTCTGGGGTAACACTACTCCGGTTTTTAATACAGGACCTATTTAATTATTTTGATTAAATTAAAAAGGTTAGTTCAGTTAGATAACAATTATAAATATGACATATGTTTTCTGAAATACTTTCAGTTAAAACTTCTTCAAAAAAACTGACATTTCAAAAAATGTTTTAAATTATTTTATTAAAAATATAAAATGGTAAAATTGATGTATGTGTAGAACTAATGAGTAATAAGTAGTCACTCACTTCATAAAGTATATAGATGTATTATTAATGAGTAAAAAGTATTATTATGGTATTTAATTATTTAATGAAGTTAATTTAGGAAAGAATTGGTAAATATAAAAAATAAGTATTATATTTAAGACTAAGATCAACCTTCTAATTAAATTCTATATTAAAGGCCAGAGGAGTAATATTTTTACTTGGACTTGTATTGCTTTTAATTCCTTAAATTTAACATTAGTGTGTTTTTTGGTCCTTTTAAATTTGATTTTAGATAGTCTGCTTAAAGATTTTTGTCCTTGGGACAGTATTTTCGTTATTAAAATTAAAATAAGATCAAATGTAAGGAACTAAAAATATCCCTTTTTTTTCATGAAAATGCATGTATCACAGGTTGGCTTCAGAAATTTTAATTTTTTGTATCATACTAGTGAAATAATTGAGGAATACAACTAATAATCTATTGAAAAAATAGAGGTGTGACTATTTCGTATTTTAAAAGAGATTATACCATATGTGTATTCTTACGAATCCAAGTCGTCGTCATTAACCTTAGTAATTAGATTGTTCTTTGGATGCTTATTCTTTTCAGAGAAGGCGTTCTGATGCTAACGCTGGTTTGGATGGTTATCCTTTTCCACCACAGCATTCAGATGCAGCTGCAACTGCTGCTCCATCCGGTGGCAGACGCCGACAGGGACTGGAAGCGAGGGAAATGGCTTATGGGGTAATACTTATCCGATCTTTAATACATGACCTATTTAACTATTTTGATTAAATTAAAAAAATTAGTTAAATTAGGTAATAATTATAAATATGGCATATGTTTCTCAAAATACCCTCAATTAAAACTTCTTCAAAAAAATTGACATTTCAAAAAATGTTTTAAATTATTTTATTAAAAATATAAAATGGTAGAATTGATGTATGTGTGGAATTAATGAATAATAAGTAGTCACTCACTTTATAAAGTATATAGATGTATTATTAATAAGTAAAAAAGTATTATTGTGGTATTTAATTATTTAATAAGGGTAATTTAAGAAGTAATTGGTAAATATGAGAAATAGGTTCTATATTTAGAATCAAAATCGACCTTCTAATTAGGTCATATATTAAGGACTGCAAGAGTAATATCTTTACTTGACTTGTATTGCTTTTAATTCCTTAAATTTAAAATCAGTGTGTTTTTTGGTCCGCTAAATTTGATTTTAGGTAGTCTGCTTAAAGATTTTTGTCCTTGACATTGTAATTTTGTTATTAAAATTAAAGTAAGATCAAATATAAGGAACTAAAAATACCCCCTTTTTTTTCATGCTATGCTACTTATTTTAGAGAAAACCGATCCAACAGTCCTTATAGTTTTATCATGTTTTGAATTGGGTCGTTGTAATTTTTTTCTGTTTATTGAATCCTTAATGTTTGCACCATCAATAATACCAGTCCTAACTATTAATAAAGCTGTTAGTTTAATTGAGAATGGATGATGTGGCATCTGGGCCCATCCTCTTCCTCAGTTGACTTCCTTTAGCTTCTCTCTTTCTTCCTCCTCCTCTCAATCTACCTCTGCTCTCACACCACTGTCCGCCTGCAATTATCTCTTCCACTCTCGCTGCTCTTTCTCCCTCCTTATAACTTCTCCACCACCCCCAATTCTCACTTCCACTTCCTCTCAAAATAAAAAATGGGAATGAGAGAGGTGCAATCAATTCCCTCTTCCCTCGTTCTTCCTCCCTTTATTGCTTTTGCTAGTACTTATGTAATGTTGCAGAACAAGAAGACACCCAAAATTCATGGCGGCATCGTTCTTTTTCTTTGCTTGGCCATCACTTTTATGGGCTTATTTTTAAGGAATTCAAGTGTTCATTCTTCAACCAAAATAAAAGGGGCAAGTAATGCATTTCTAAGATGTAGAAATAAATCCATACTACCACGAAGACCAAAAAAATAGACACATGTCGGGCTATGATTTGAAACAAATTATTGCGACCGCCATCATCCTAAATAAGCACAAATCGTCAAAAGTGTTTCATACAAGAAACCATAGAAAGAGCAAGACTCTAACTAAACATGATGTAGAAAAATTCTCCAAACTCTGGGCAACTAGCTTCATGGCTATCACTATCTGATTGTTATAATTCAAACATCCCAGAAGGCATCATGTTCTACACAAAACACCTAACTTTAAGAGAAATGAAAGATAACAACATCATAATAGTTGTGCGAGAGTGGAAGTAGACTGAGAGGAGGAGGGAGAAAAGCTGAGAGAGGTTGACTTTATTAACAGCAATAAATGGCATTATTAACTGTGTAAAGATTAAGGATTCAATAAAAAAGAAAAAAAAACCATAAAAACCCAATTTAAAACATAATGAAACCATGAGGACTGCTAGATTAGTTTTCCTTTTATTTTATTTGAAAATGCATGCGTCACAGGTTGGCTTTAGAAATTTTAATTTTTCGGATCCCACTAGTAAAATAATTGAAGAATACAACTAATAATCTATTGAAAAAATAGGCGTGTGACTATTTCGTATTTTAAAAGAGATTATACCATGTGTATTGTTACGAAACCAAGTCATCATCATTAACCTTAGTAACTAGATTGTCCTTTGGATGCTTATCCTTTTCAGAGAAGGCGTTCTCATGCTGACACTGGTTTGGATGGTTATGATTTCCCGGCACAACATTTTGATGCTGCTGCAGCTGCAGCTATTGCTTCATCCCCTGACAGAGGCAGACTGTCTTTTCAGGGACTGGAAGCGAGGGAAATGCCTTCTGCGGTAATATTTTTTCAGTTTTTAATATAAGACTTATTTAACTATTTTTTCATGTCCTGCTATTTATTTTATTTAAAAATGTATGTAGCACAGGTTGGCTTCGAAATTTTAATTTTTTGTATCACACTAGTGAAATAATTGAGGAATACAACTAATAATCTATTGAAAAGATAAAGGGAAAATTGCAATTTAGGACCTTGGAATTGCAAAAACACAGATAGGGACCCTTGACAACTTCACTTTGGGTTTTGACAACAATAATATGTCATGAAGTTGTTAAAACCCAAAGTGAAGTTGTCAAGGGTCCCTATCTGCGTTTTTACAATTCCAAGGTCCTAAATTGCAATTTCCCCAAAGATAAAGGTGTGACTATTTCGTATTTTAAAAGAGATTATACCATATGTGTATTCTTACGAAACCAAGTCATCATCATTAACCTTAGTAATTGGATTGTTCTTTGGATGCTTATTCTTTTCAGGGAAGGCATTCTAATGCTAACGCTGGTTTGGATGGTTATCCCTTTCCGCCACAGCATTCTGATGCTGCTGTAGCCGCCGCTTCATCCCCTGACAGACGCAGGCGCAGGCGCAGACGCCGACCTAGACTAGCTTCATTTGGACTCGTATTGCTTTTAATTCCTTAAATTTAAAATTAGTTTATGTTTTGATTACTCAAATTTGACTATAGGTAGTCTGCCTAGAGATTTTTGCCCTTGGAACAGTACTTTTGTCATCAAAATTAAAATAAGATTAAATAATAGCAACTAAAAATACCCCATATTTTTTTCATGCTTTTCTATTCATTTTATTTGAAAATTCATGTATCACAGGTTGGTTCAGAAATTTTAATTTTTCATATCACACTAGTGAAACAATTGAGGAATACAAGTAATAATCCATTGAAAAATAGACATGTGTGACTTTTTCGTATTTTAAAAGAGATTAGTACATTTCTCTATTTTTAGGGTTTCGTGACGAGACTTTTCAGAGGAGCTGGGGAAGCGGCAGCTGGTGCAGGTATAGCGGCGGCTATGGCGGGAGGAGGAGTTGATGGTGCTGATAATGATTATGAAGATGATGATTACTAGCTAATTACTAATTTCTAAATATAATCAACTTTTAAATATAACCAACTACTACTTCAGTAATACCCAAACTTTTTGCAATTAGAAAAAGAAAATCAAGCTTGTCTTGTTTAATTAATGAAATTATAATGAACTGAACCAAACTTGAGTTTTTGGCCAGTTGAATGCGTGCATCAACCTGGAATTTTGTCAGCTTCTTGATTTAGACTTTCTGCTCGTTGGGTATCATTTTGTGATAACCTGCACACATATTCACGATTATTCTCATCCATTCCCCGATATTTCTTGTGAACAGTATGGAGTAAATGTAAGGCACCGAGAATATTTTGCTGATAGCCCTTCAGCTGGAATGGATCCTGCTACACGAGATGAATGAGCCATTAATTGTCTGTAACAAATCTTCAAGGGTTCTTGCTTGCTCATAGTTTAGTAAATACTGACATTTGGTAAGGTGGGTTTGAGTCTAAAGTCGATAAATTTAGCGGAATAGTTTCAAGTTCTGAATGCTTGATTTATGAACAATCTTGTTCATTTTGCTTTTAGTTAGAATATGTTTGAAATACGTTTCTAGTTTGAAGGATATCTGAAACGTTATTTTGTTGGCTTTAGAGCCTCAACCTACCATCACGTATTTCCGCAAAAGATGCTGGTAATACGGGCCCAGATGAGAATGACCCAAAACACGTGAACAGCCCATTATGTTGAGGAAAAGCCGCAGAGCCCGAAGAAAGACCTGGAAGCTTGGGGAATTGGATGACGCGGAATATTTCATATAACGGCCAGGGTCATTGAGAGTGAGTGTGCATGGATTTGGAAATTCCTTTCTGACAGATTCTGTGTCTCTCTCTCTCCCTTCACTGTATTTCTCATTCTGCATTCCTATTTTGTCTGTGTCTGTGACTGTGATTCGTAAGCTGTAGTGCCGTTACGCTCTGTATCTGTGATTTCACTGATTTATGAATATATTTCAGAGCAGCATTCATATTGATCGTGTAGTATTGTGCTAACGTGACAATTTCGTGGTGCTCCAAGCACTTTCTAGGTTTGTTTTGGTGGGATGGAAATAGTAATAGAATAAACATTTTTAGAAGAAGAAGTAATAGCAGTAGTAGTAGTAATGATGATGATGGCAGCAGTGAGGATGAAGACAACCAACAATTATGCGAGCAGTTTGCCTGGTCCAACCAATAATTATGCCTATGTTAATCTTTAAGCCGTTTGAAGCGGATTCAACGGGTTATTGACGCATTCTTTTAGGCTTTCAATTTTCATGGAAAACTACCAAACAAAAAGGGAAACGGATACTGTATTTTAATTTCTCCGTCAACTCATTTTCACAACACACGCACTTACTATCATTGAATGTATTTTTAGCTTTTATATGAATAAGAAATGAGATTAGTTTCTTGACATTTATTTCTGAGTAACAAAATTAGAGAGATTTAATACGTATTAATTTTTTTAGAATGATTTCTTTATAACTTTGAGGGGAGGTTTTCAAACTAATCTCAGGACTGGGAGATTCCACTAACAGAGGGGCAATATCGCTACATTTTCGACATTGTACCAACTTAGACTTAAATATCAACGGTAGTTCTAAGAAAGATCAATAATTTTTCTAAGAAAATATACTTCGTAAAGCAAAAAAATTCATCAACTAGTAGTTAGTGGGTCCCTATGGGCCCAGTTAAATTCCCGGAGAGTGGATGGTGATTGTGAATTGTGATTAGTAAGTTACATGCATAATTTAAAAAGTTGATTATGACTTGGGGTAGTGGCCGATGGAGCCGCCGATTTGATTGATGCCTCGAGTCTTCTCACGGGTCTCCGGGCACTGAGTCTTCGTCTTCGTCTTCGTCTTCGGCTTCATTAAGGAGCAAGAAGCCAAGAAGAGTGGGACCTTGGAGCGGAATGTGGTTTGAGAGGGAATGAGTGTGGATAATTTTTCTATTTTTTATTTTTTTAAATAATTATTTTAATGGGTATAGAATATAAAATAAAAACAGTTTCTTACCTATCATATAGAATATAAAATATTTCATCTAATACTCGTTTGCAATTTTTTATTTAAGTATTTCATTACAACATTTCTCATACATCATCATAGATCTCTTAAGTACATACTGTAAGCCACAAGTCACTTTTTAATTCTAGAATACAGAGTGAAGCCAACTTGCATATTGCATGGCATACATACATATGTATCTACGTACGTACCTAGATAGACTGTTGGATGTAAATTAAAATCCCTTAATTCGAAGAAGGTGAATGTACTTTTAGTTTTTATATGAATAAGAATTGAGACTAGTTTCTTGACATTTATTTATAATTAGTAAAATTAGATGGATTTAATCCGTAGTAATTTTTTTAAGAATGATTTATTCAAAACTTTCCGCGGCTACGTTTTCGAAATTCTACCAACTGAGACCTTTTTCGTGCTGCTTATAGATTTTTTTTTGTTTGAGACAATCCTAACTATTTGAGACATTGTCATGCACTAAATATGAGTATCTCTTTTTAGTAAGGGTTTAATCTTAATTATCACGTTATGAGAAACTAATTCTTTCTGTTAAAATCAACTTCCGAGACTTGATGCAGTACTTCATAAGTAGTGATTTTAACTTATGCAGTATTTTTTAAGAAAATACTTCATAAGTAAAAATATTCATCTACCGGAAGCTACTGGGTTCACATATATAGGCCCAGTTAAATTTCAGAAATGATTATTAAACATGATTAGTAGTGATAAGTTTATATTTTATAATTAAATAGGTGTATATTTTGATTTATTTGGTTAAATTTATAGATATCTTATACCTATTTAATTATTTTTTGTAGATTTTCCTCTCTTTTAAATTAATTATAGGACAAAAGATAATCTTGCATAAAATCCACTCAAATCTTTTATTATTTTTTTGCAAGGAGATATAAAATTATTGAGAGAAAGAAATATCACAAATAAAAGATAAGACAAAAAGGAGAGCAAATATTATATATGCACATATATATATTCACATATTAGGAGGCGTGAAGATCATGGAAGAAGCAAATCATCAATTAAGATATAATATATTATATTATATTGAAAGGATCAGATGCGGATAGGAGGCGTGAAGCAATCAAAGGTCACTATATATATATATATATATATATATAGAGAGAGAGAGAGAGAGAGAGAGGAGGACGCACAATAAACAAAGGTAGAGGGTCTTGGCGGCAGTGAGAATTCGAACGAAGAGAAGAGAGCAAGCATCAGACAGCATTTCCAGACTCAGTAACAGAGCATTGTTTGCAATAGCGAATCAGCGAAGTTACTACCTTTGTTCATCCTATGACAGCAACTGAGCAGAGGACCTCTATTGGATCCTTCAACAGTTTACTCCTCTTTTATTCTTCCTTTATTCTGTCACGTTTGGGAATCTTAGAACAATACTATTTATAGTTTATTTTATTATGAGTTTCTAAATTTCCTAGTTGGGGTAGGGATGTAGTCCAACTGGGAAGCTAGTTTTTATAAGTTCTATTTTGACTCTTTTTATTCTTTTTTGAATATCTTTTTATTTTTATATTTATTTCTCTTATTCTTCATGTGGATTTTATGACTAGCCACCATTGAATCTAAATTATGGGTGATCTTGATGGACTAAGAGGTGAAGAGTTAACCTAGATCTACAAAAGTAGACATAAATACTTAGGCTAGGGATAGTTCTAGATATTTATGGTGACTTAAGACTATAGCTTCAAGGTTTAATTAGTTGTTTGGGTGTCGTGAGAACAAATTCAACTCTAATTAAATAGGGACTAATAATTCGGGAGAATATTATGATATTTTAGGAATAGCTGTCACTATAATAAATCAAAGAGTCAATTTAAAGGATAGAAACTAGCAACATATAGGGTAAATCCTGAACCCTAACGCTTTGAGTGATTGATTTTCCTCTTATATTTGATTTTCTCCTACTTTTAATTTATTATTTCATATTATCTCATTAATCAATTCATCTATTCTCATTGTTACTTATTTGGATTAGTAAAAACACAACCTCCTTATAGGTACGACCTTAGATTATTCTAGAATTTTTAAGTAGCTAAGTACTACTAAGTTACATATTGGAGAGGAGTCTCTTTCCTTTTTTTTCCTTCCATTTTCATCCCTTTTTTCATCTAAATTGTAAGGTTAAAATCTTAACTGTCTGGAGTTTATATTTTATAAATTTATGAATAAAATGTCAAATTTTCATTAAAATAAAGAAATTAAATTAAATTACTAAATTCTAGCCAGATAATACAAAACAATAATAAAAAATATATTTTATACAATTATTTTCTATAATATAAAATCTGGACTGTTAAAATTTCAGTCTTAATGATTGAGATGGAAAGTGAATGGAAACAGAGAAAAAAAAAAAAAAAGGAAGTGAAAAGACCCTTTGCCCGTCGTCATACAAAATTTTAAAAGTTGATTATGCTGTAAAGTAGAGGTTGATGGAGCGATCGATTTAATTGATGCCTAAAATCTTCTAACGCGTGTCCACGCATCGGGTCTGGGTCTTCGTCTTCGTCTTCGTCTTCGTCTTCGTCTTCTTCTTTCATCAAGAGCAACAAGCCAAGAGGGGTGGGGCTGCAGAATGTGGCATCAGATAAGTTTGGATGCTCATCAAGAGTGATGAATACCACAAACTCATTATATTTGAATAGTATGAGTTTATTTTTATTTTTATTTTAAAAATAATTATTTTAATGAGTATGGAATATAAATAAAGATAATTTTTTAACTATAATGTTCTCATCAAAATTTTTATTTAAAAACAATTAATTAAAAATTTTAAATTTAGACTATCCAAATCTAATAAGTTTAAAAGATTTATCACCTTAACGAGTACTCAAACCAATTGCATCGCCATAAGAGACAGAATGACAGAAGCTTACAATGCCAATTTGAAGGATAGAGGAGCGGGAATCGATCCAACGTGTAAAGGAAAACGAAAAGAAAATGATTTAGGTTTAGATTT